TTATGTTACTCTTGAAATTCGTTTATTTTTATGTAGTTTTTGTTTGTTTTCATTTCAAAAAAATTAAAATAGACAAATAAACATGATTTGAAGATTGATGTAATTATTGTTTTACCCTTCAAGAATGTTTCAAGGTCACACATTTTGAATCTCAATTGTTTTTTTTTCAGTGTGTAACTGCTATGGTAGGAGGTGGAATTTTGTGAAAATGGGCTAGCAATCACTATCGGATCGGTGATCTGCATATGGTGATTTTCAACATAAGCTTGTTAGAGATGATATTTTAAATGATTGACATGCTACTTGAAATGTAACTACGTTTCCGTTATCGGTAAATGAATATAAAGATATTGTTATTATGAGTAAAGAGTAAAGTAGATTGTCTATATTGGTAAAAAGAGTAAATCATGTTTTTATTTCTTGCAGTTTACCCAATAGGAACTGATATTTAATGTTTGTAATTTACTGTCGAAAACATTCTCATAAGTTGAAATGTTTTTTTGGGAAAGGATCCAATGATTCTTTTAGGATGAACCTCAAAATGTTTATTTTACCATTTTTCTTTATTTTCTCTAGACTGCACAGTAAGCTTTTTGTGCCTCTTTTTGTATTTAAATGACTAAACTATTTTATGTGGCTATCAGTATCCTATTTGACTTCAAAAGTCAACATATTTTTCTTTTAATTGAGTAACTAATGCATTATTTTTGGGCTTCAAGGTCTGAGATTTAAAGTTGATTTAAAAAAAGACGAGAAATCCTTTCAACTTAAGGAAGGTCATTGGATGACCATAACCACCACTTACACAAATAAAGGAGATTTAGAGAGTGTATCAATGAGCTACAAAAAAAGTGCAGGTGACTTTTAAAGCTACGAAACAACATTGAACCATCCAAGACCGTTAGATGAAATGGTAGCTCTTCACTTGATTGGCGCTGCATTTTTCATCAAGATATGTGTAGTCAAGTAAAGATGGATAAAGTTAGCATGATCCTTCACTTTCACTGCAAAATCAGTTGATTTTTGTTAATTTTCTTGAAAAATGTTAAGTTTATGATGTCGATCCTATGTGACAAAATGGAACAATTTCAAAAATTACTTAATGAGACTTTTATATTAGAATCTTAGCATATGTTTAGGTTGATCATAATATCTCAATTGTCGCAAATAGGGCTCAAGAGATGTCAACTGGTTTATCTCAACCTAATGTTTAGCATATTTAACATTATGTCTAGGCATCTGAACATAGTTAAATTAATTTTCTCACTCCGATTTATGCAGTTGTTCTAATTTGCTTTCGGTTTATACTATAAAAATATTTTTCTTATAAAATAAAGATAATTTCTTAACATAACTAAATCCATCTCAATAGTAAAAGCTAAAACATTTCAACCGACTCACCTACCCCAACATATATGTCTACAATCCAAATCTGTCAAAAAAAAAAACCGTTGAGCCTTAAAATCTCCACAATCGATTCATTTTATTACATGTTTATATTTTCTGAATATGACATGTTTTCAAAAAGAAAATAATCAATGAAAGAAAACTGATTGTCCCCCGCCGCTATGCGCGGGTGTCCTGCTAGTATATTATATATATATATATATATATATATATATATATATATAGATATATATATATATATATATATATATATAAAACCAACTAGGTATGAAACCCGTGTATTGCACGGGTTTATTAATAATAAAAATTAATATGAATATATATAAAAATTAATTAATTTATAAAATAATATTTTTCTCTAACAAAATGTAATCTTTTTGAGCATTTATGAAAAAATCAAATCGTTTGGAACATTTATTAGAATTTATTATTAAATTAGTAGAAATATAACCTTATATATATATATATATATATATATATATATATATATATAGGTAGGTAGGTTCAAATGTGGATGCACATCTATTGTGTGGATGTAGGGGAACCAATCAAAAACTAAGAAATATTAAATCATTAAATAAATTTATAAGGGTATTTTAGTAATACTAGCCATTATTATTTATGGTAAATAAAGAAAATCTTTAATTACCTTTAAATCTGGGAAATCAGTTTATGAACCCTAAAATCCACTCACCACCCCTTTATAACAATTCATCGTCTTCATTCTTTCCCCACCTCCGGAGTTGACTTCCTTCCCCACCTTAATATACGATCTCCTTGTTGCATCCACCTCTTCTTTCTTCTCTATATGTATGTGTATGTTTTGATGAAAAGATGAATAAAGGAGGTATCGACATACCAACCAACATCATCATCGAGCATCATCCTGTCCGCAATCGGCCACCATCGTCATCAAGCTGACCACCCTCATATACCCATTTTAATCATCTCAGGTAAAAGAGTAGAAGTCGCTAGTCAATTCACATCTTAAATCAAAAGTATGTGTCTTTTTATAAAGCAATTTCAAACCGATTTTTTTCATGTCTACAAGGCACTTAGCTTTTCAATATTTTTGGAATCTAAAAATTGTTTCTTATGATTTGTTTTTTTTTTCTCTACATGAACTTATATTTATTGTTTTTCCTCAACTTGCATACAAAAAATATTTTGATTTTGCTATGATGAAATAGGCACCCCAAGTGTTTGATGTAATGTCCCAAAGAATGTTTGATTTTTAGTATAAGGTTTGATTTTTAATATACAAATGGTTTTTCTGGTTCTCAATGTTTTTTTTATAATTTTTGATGAAATGGTTTTTTCTAATACCTAATATCGACAAATCATTCTACCAAAATGTTCTGACCATCTCTTTCGTGATTGACTAGAACGTTCATCCATGGAAAAAATGTTCTTTTCTTATTAGAAATGACTATCATAAGAGAGGTGTGAAGAGATTATACTGGTTGCGGCAAATTATGGTTTAAAAGAAGATTGGATTTCATATCACAGACTTGGACAAGACACTCTAAAACAAGTGTCTACTTTCTTTCATATATACATTTGGTCCTAATACTAGCAAGACACTTCGAACAACATAAATATATCAAAGGTTCAGTCTCATTTTGATTGTTTTTGTACTACATACATTACACATGACTTCATCTTTTCATAAGGTGAAATTTCTCACTTTCTATCCAGGTGAAGTAGTTGAATTTTTTTATGTTGCACAAAAGAACAGGAAGTCTTAATAAAGTTGTTGCTAACTATTAGAATATTTTACTCTATCATTCTATTAGAATATTTACCTGATCATTTTATTAGAACACACATCAAAACATTATATTAGATTGTTGATTACAGTTTATATTGACATTCTTTATATATTTATTTTGACAGCCCCTGGAGCCGATAACGGTTAAAGAATCCAAGATTGAATCCATAAACCCAAATATTTGGACATTCAAGAAACCAAGAATGATTCGATACATAGAAATAGTTTGAATGTATATGAATATATAAAAATGTTGTATGAATCTTTATTTAAGTTTACTCATTTTTATAACGTTCTGTTAGAATATATGTATAAGTGTTATAAGGTTTTTAATTTGTAAGAATATTTATGGATATGTATTTAAGTAAATATGTCTACAAATATATAAGAATGTTGATATTCTTCAACCGATGGTTCAAGAATTTGTTATTCTTCAAGAAGTTCATTCTGACAGAATATGCATTTTGTTAGAATGTTATTATTTTTCAAGAATCTCGTAAATATATTCCGTGAGAATGTTTGAAATAAAAGAATTATTATATATTAAAAATAGATTTTCAAAATTAAGAGAATTAATTACCCCTTAAAATCAAAAATTTTCCTTTTTTAAATGTAGTTTAATGGACTAAAATACCACCATTATACTAAAATCTGAGTGATTATATGGTACATGATATCTAATTATAATACCATAGACCTTCAAATCAAGATCATTCATTCTATTAATCTATTGGTCTAGAATTGTCCTTACAACCACACAATAGATGTCATCCACCATATAACCTAGCCATATATATATATATATATATATATATATATATATATATATATATATATATATATATATACACACACACACACATAACCCATTAGAATTTTTTGGAAATTTATTTTAAGAAAATTGAAATCCCCAAAAAAATGACAAATGGAAAATAACAATTTAAAAAATCTTAAAAAATGACATGTGTCAAAATGAAGGAGAATATGACAAATGACAAAAGTATTTTCATTTATTAGAAAGGATATTTTTCATTTTAATATTATTTTTATATATAAATACGTATTTTAACATATTATATATGTATTATAATGTATAATATTTTATTGTGTTACATTTAAACCAAATATGTACAAATGCTTTTTTTTTTTACATTTAAATCATATGCATATGTATAAGTAAGTAGTTTTTTTTATATTTAAATCGTATTCTTACGTATAAATATCTTTTTCTACATTTAAAAATATATTTTATACATTAGAATGCATAGATAATATGTATAAATATATTTATTTATATGTAAATAAATATGTAAACTAAAAGATTATACTAAAATATGTATCAGGAGTATACATTATATACACAACATGATACATAACATGTGATATTAATTCAACTATAAGACTGAAAGGTGTCGGAGAGGGTTTACCGGCGGTGTCCGACGTGGCACCCTTTCACTGCCGGTGAACACTGCGTTGTGAAGGGTATTTCACCGTCAGAGACCTTTACTGATGGGAAAATTGTGAGTTTTGTGGTGATTTAAAAAAGTGAACGTTGCCAACGGTCGGCAATGGCTACTTTTGGCATATTTAATTTTTTTTTCTTTTTTAATCTACTATATATACAACTCACATACTCAACAAAAAATTACCACACAATAGACTCTCAATAACAATTGTTTCTTTGAAAATGTCTTCTTCCAAACAAAATGCTCCAAACCAGAATGTCTACAACGCCTACGCACTTTTCGGCTACGATCTGTCATCACCACCACCTTACCGGCCACAAATGGATGGTGTTCCTAGTTATTATTCACAATTCTAAATGCCCCAACAATTCCATTTTCAATCTCAACCTCAAACCAAACCATCTCAACCCCAATTTTCATCCCACCTGCCATTCGCACCTTCAACCGAACACGAAGAACAACAACAACAACCTCAACAACAAAAGAAAGGGAAAGTTGATCCGAGAAGATGGACACAAAAAGAAGAAGTTGAGTTAGCAAGGGCATGGGTCGACATATCTGAAGATGGTGGCACAGGAAAGGGTCAAAATCGTGATCAGTTTTAGTTACGTATCACAGAACGCTTTTGTAGGGGAATGGGTCGAAGTACATATTATCGAACCTCCGACCAATGTAACTCCAAATGGAATCTTATGAACAAAGTCGTCACACATTGGAATGAAATTTGCACAAATTATGAGAAGCAATGGGCTAGCAGAGAAAGTAAAGCGAGTTTGTTGAAAAAAACACACGCAACATTCCAAGATGATACACAAAAGTATTTTAAGTTTATTCATGTGTGGGAAGTTGTCAAAAGAAGCCTTAGGTGGAGGGAACTTGCAACACATGAAGAAATTGCAAATCCACCAAAAAGAAGCCGGGCATCTTCACATTCGAGCTCGCAACAAGTCTCATCGGATGGTCATGTAGGCGCTAATCTTAACGATGATGACAATGACATTGAAGAAATACGCCTGCCTCCTCGTCTAATGGGAAGAAATACGCCTGCCTCCACGTAGGCGCTAATCTTAACGATGATGACAATGACAATGACATTGAAAACCGTTCCTTTGAAAATGATTATGTGAAAATCTTTTGTGTTGATTATTATGAACAAAATTCTTTTTTTGTTTATTTTTTCACAAAATTCTCTTTGTTTTGATTTTGTGAATTTGATTTAGCTTTGAATGATGAAGATTTTTGTGGAATTTTTGCAATATCTTTTTGTGATGAACTTTTTGACAAATCTTTTTGTGATTGAGCGGGTGTTTTCTTTATAAAAGACTTGTTTTGATGGTTTGTCCGAACTGTTGTGGACATAATTGATTTAGACGATTTATTTGTCAAAATATTTTGTTTCTTTCGAGACTCAATATTTTACCAATAAACCTTCTTCCTCGCTTTAGTCATTGAAATCCCTAGTTATTTTGAAATCTTTTCAATTCGTTCTTTGAAAATTTGAACCTCTTGATTTGACTTTTGAGAAATTGTTTCTTTTGTTTGATTTTCATCTTTTGGTTTGTTAGTTTTAACAGCCTAGTTTCTTTTTGGTTTTTGTTTTTGAAAAGAGAATGAGTTCTTGTTGAGATTATTTTCGACAGTACTCTGATTTGAGAAAAATTCTTCTTTCGAAGCTTGCTTGTTATCTTCTTCAACAATTTTGTTGATTTCAGGTTTGACCTTTTCACCATTCCCTGATGTAACAAACACTTGATTTGGAAAGATAACTTCATCCGTGCAGACGAAATTTGGATAGACAACTGAGTTTGTTTCAAGATAATGAGAACCTTTTTCCTTCATTATTTTTTCGAACTTCTCAGATTCCTCATAAACCTGATCAACTACTACTCTTGGTATAGTTGTTTCTTTCGAAGTATCATGATTATCATCATCACTGTCTGTTTGACTATCTTCAACAGTCACATGGTTAGGATCATGAACTTTTGAAGTTGAAGGTATATCAGTGTCAATCTTAACCGAAGAATCATAACAAATTTCTTTCCCTTTAGCCATTGAAGTGACATTAATGACTGATAATTGAGAACAATCAACAACTTCCTCCTCCTCAATTTCACTAATATCATCAGAATCATCGTCGATATCAGCAAAATTGTTTTGAGAGTTAGATGTCGAATTCTCAATTCTTTTCAAAATTTTGATTTGTTCGTCTTTGGTCAAGGTCTTATTAAAAATATCAACAAGATCATTTGCATCTAAACATTCGTCAATTTTCACAATTCCATATGCATATCTATTATCAGGAACATTATCAAACTCAGAAATAGTCATCTCACAGTCATAAGAAGTTGAGTCTATTTTCTCCCTTTCGAAAGCTAAGAAAGGTAAAAGCTCCCTATGATGTTCTTTCCTAATTTCAGATGAATGAAGCAAAGCAGTCAATTGACCATATAATCGTTTAGCTGAGTTACAGTAAATATTTCTTTGTTTCAACAAAATCTTATTATCAGCACTCAATCTATCCCTATCACACATAATGTTCGTAATTTATAAGTCTAAATGATCTATCTTTGCTTTCTTCGACTCCAAAATCCTTTGTGTTTCTAGCAATTGAGTACTAGACTTTTTAGCATCATTACTAGCAGAGATAAGCAAATCATTAACATAAGTAATTGCATCATCAAACTCAGATAAAATCGAATTGTATGCATTAGAAGGAATGTTAAAGGATTGTAAAAGAAAACATACCTTTGAAGTCATTGGTGATTTATGAGTAGATGTCGAAACAAAACACTTCCCATTCACATTCTCTTCCTCCTCTTCCTCCTTTTCCTCATACTCTGCGAACATAGCCCCATGTGTATGATTTTGCATCTCTTCGTCATCAGAACCTGAGGACTAGATTTGGTAGGTTCCTTCTTCGTCATCCATACCCCTGGCTACAAGTGACATTCCCTTTGTCTTAGCTCTGACTTCTTCAAGCCTTTCCACATAATAGGCTTCGTCGTTAACCCTGTTATTCTTCTCATCTTTCTTCCTTAACATACAATCACTTGACATATGATTCGCTCCATTGCAGTAAAGGCAGTCGAATCCAGAGTCTCCTATGAGCTTTTTCTCCACCTTTGCATCTTCAGCTTTACTTTCCTTCTTTTCCACTTTCTTCTCATCATTCAATGACTTCCCAGAAAAAGCTTCCTTTCACTTCACTTGTTCGAGCCTTTGCATTGAATGACTTTTTGAAAAACTTCTTTACTCGATTGTTTTAGTAAAGAGCCACAACTTCGTCATCAGAGTTGACGATCAGACCTTCTTCTTCCGAATTCTCCTTCTCAGCAACTTCTTTCTCAATCTCTCTTCCAGAAACCTTCGACACAAGAGCAAGAGGACCACCTATACTAATCTTTGATTCTTCAGCAATCCCGTTTACTTTAGATTCATGAGCTTTCAGCACATTGTAGAGATCACTCGATGAGAAGTAGTCGAAACTTTGTTGTGTCTTTATCATGAGAGTAACATTTCAACATTCTTTTTGAAGTCCCATGATAAAAGTGAGATTGAACTTCATTGTAGATCTTATCACACCATATCTGTTACACTTGAAAATGAGCTCATTCAGACGATCATAATAAGACTCAATTGTTTCTCCGTCCTTCTGCTTAAACTCTCCCAATTCCAACATACACTGTTTGACTGAACTGATTTTTGTCTTCTCACTTCCTTGATACTTCCCCTTCAGTGTATCCTAAATTTCCTTTGAAGTTTTACAGCTACACACATAATTATACACGATTGGTGGAAGAGCACCACGGAGTTCTCACATACATTTCTTTTCATTCTTCAACAATTTCTCAGCCTGTTCTGTAACATTTTGATTATTGGAAGAAGTTCCAACACTTTGAACAACAGGAGGAGGACGGACATCATCTGTGATGCATTTCCAGAGTTCCTCAACTATTCCATTCAAATAGTCCTCCATACGATCATCCCATTGACCGTAGAACTTTGGAATCAACATAGGAATTTTGGTTAAAGAACCAAGAAGATGCGAGTATGAAGTCATGGTGTTCATGTTGAAGTTCGCCATTGATGTACGGATGAAAATTAGGAAAAGCTTCAATTAACGAGAATTGATTGACAAAATGTCTGGGGCATTAAGAGGGAAAAGGGACTAGAACCGGATATGACTAAAGTTATTAAACAACTGTTAAGGACGATCTAAGGTTCACCAAAGATTGGTTGCTTATGGACAATTGGAAGTATAGTAATGGATGGACCATATTGACATGATTTTGAATAGATAGGACTCTATTGAGAATGGATAGTCATATGGCATTATGGAAAAGTTTCCATAATGGGAGTTGGATATCAAGAATCTATGAGTAAGTTAGAAACTTTTATGCAAGAAGGATGTTTAAAGGAATGTTCTTTGAATATGAGACTTCATATCTATGGAATTGTCTTGTAACAATCTCCAATGGAAAGTTTTGTAATTGTCAAAGTCTCTGTGACTTGTGTACATAGTCATTACAAAAGGATCACTGCATATAAGCTTAGAATCTGACAGATTAAAGTAAGTGGCAAGGAATTGGTATTCTCACACTTACGATAAGGATTTGGAATTGTGTAATGAGTGTCATTGGAAATGTTTACAGTTGATATATTTCACAAAGTAAGGACTATAGGTAAACATAGTGTGCATGCTTGGAGCATGAGATAACTATTCTTTTAATTCAAGTATTAAGTTGATTAATCGAAACATTATACAATGAATAATGTGTAATCAATATGGTGATTAAATAAAAGGCGTTTTATTTATATTCAAAAGTTTTGAGACCATATTGAATTCGATTATTCTTGTGTTTCACTTTGCATGTTTTGACTTCCTGAATTAAGATTATTCAAACCATCCACAGTCGATCATACTTTGGAAGTAGGTATTGAGGCAAGATTGTCATGAATCCTTCTGTAGATTGTCTAAAGTGTTATACATAGCACAAGTTTGCTGCAGTATTCATGAGTACTCCTGTAATAAGATTTAAGTATTGGATCAAACCCACGCTCATCTGAATCACTTCATGGATTTTATCACGAGTGATCATGAGACGATAATATCTTATATTCTTGAAACGGAGAGATATGAGTTGTAGTTTACAAGTCGATTGCACATTGATAATATTAAAACGCACCAGTAACTTGGTGTTATAAAACATATTGTTGTGTGTGATTTGATGAGTAAATAGAGCAAGCATATGAGTCGAAGTTTATCCGTTCCTTTTACCCTAAGAGGGATAAAAGCAATATCTGTGGGCCCCTCGATGATTTAGTGATGACAACCCTAAGCGCTTGGCCAAGCTTGGACTAATTTGATTTGTTCAATTAGTCGGTCGTCATAAATCGGAAATCGAGAAACAACACATTAACAGAGAGAATGATTATAATCCATGTCTCAGTTCATACGATATCTAGAATGGAGGAATATATGATCCCTTATCTAATGGACGCGTCATTGACTAGGTCAGAGTTCGACATCAGCTTTTAAGAGGTACGATTGCTAGTCAGGTTCTGAAGTTGTACCTGCATTTATAGTTATTAGACTTATGTAAGTGGGAGACTGTTGGATTAGGTGTCTAAGCCCATAACTATAATTGGTATGTACTTGACCCGAGAGTAGCATGGTCCATTTGGGTTGCCTTCACCAGAACAATCTGATAGGATGGATATTTGAGAAAGAGGTTATTTATGATTTATTAATATATTACAAGTATAATATATTAATTGTGAAATCATATTATTTAATTAGTATTGATCAAGAATTAATTTGGAATTAATTTAGTGATCAAAAGAGACTAATTAAATTAACGGGGACTGATTATGTAAATCAGTGATATATATAGTGTTTGGGCTATTGATCAATGATGGGTTAAGCTTATGTAAGTATCCATGAAGAGTTAGCCCACATGAGATATGGATCATAATCTAAGTGTATGGATTAGGGTTTACCCATGACTCTTGGAATCCTACACTATATATGTGTTATCCCTTAGCCAAAATCGGTTGC